TGTCTGCAGAGAGATATCGTGAGTGTTGTACAGGATGTGCTTCTCCCTTCGTGTTCTCCCAAGCCCCCCACCCCCCCCCCCTTCCCACACTCCAAAGGCGTGCCGAATTTATGCCTGTGAATGTGCATGCCTGCACCCCGCGAGCCCCCTGCACCCCGCGAGCCCCCTGCAACGGGCTGGCACATCACGCCACCCGCGGTACGCTCTGGACCCGACACGACCGCGACTCGGGGGAGGGATTTACATTCCGTTGCCGCATCAGGGGCTCTCTCTCTCTCTCTCTCTCTCTCTCTCTCTGTCCCCGTGTTGCAATTTGCGGCCGCGCTACAGTCATTGTCACGATTCTTTTTAAGCGTATAATCGCACCAGCCTTATTACATACTTCAGCTACGGACATTGGAACAGGACGCGGACCACTCCGGCTACGCTTTCCCAGTAAACAAGCTCCATGGCCAAACTGGATGGCATACGCCAGGCCATCTCCGTTCCCGTCCCCGAAAATGACACCTTGCCACATTTGTCTTTGATGAGGGGACTGCAGTGTCCCCACACTGCCTCCGCCAGCCTCACCCTAATATCAGACTTCAGCAGGACTGCCAGAATAAGCCATCTGCGTGGTGAAATATTGTAATTCTCGAAGGCCGCTTACAGGCGTCCAGATTTCACGCTCTGGCAATCGGGCTTTTGTGGCTGTGGCCGCCAACGATGTGACAGGGAGAATACCAAGGTGAACGGACTGTAGAGTAGCGGGCATTATGGGGACAGGGGTGTCTTGTGTAGCCCGCTAACGGGAGGGGAGGGCGCACATCCCGGTGTGGAGGTTGCCTAGACGAAGTCCGGCATGGCAAATTAGGCTCGAGAAATGCCAGCCCTTTTGGTTTGGCAGGATCTTGCCAATCTGGCAGAAATGTGTGTGCACAGATGCAAGTCCATCCCTGAGTATTTATAAGAAATATTACCCCTCTTTAAAAGTCTAAATGTAAAAGAAAGGTTAATATGGTGGACTTGTATGTCTTTTAGATTCATATCTGTCCCTCCACAAGCTGAAGGTCATGTATTACATGTATCACAGAACCTCTTTTCTGTTGGTAGCTAAGACCCGTAGCTGCTTCCAGCGTAGGGTCTCCTCCTAGTGCTTCATACTGTCCGGGACAAGCTCGTAGGGCACTATGATCCTCCACTGGCTAAGTGGTTGGATGATGGATGGATGGGTCTGTGACTTAATTTAAATACTAAAGAAAAATAGTTTCATATGATTGGCATCTTTGCTAATGTCTGTGACACAAAGTGCCTGATAAATGCCCCTTGTGGAAACAAAAAAAAAAACACTCCTCCCAGTCTCGCTGTGGAAAATGTGTAAGTGGAACTGACACTTAGCCATGATGGTTAAAATAATGGTCTGTTAGATGGTCTTTGCTGGAATTCAGAAGCTAATGTCTTGTGTTATGGTGAATAGGTGACTGAAAGGAAATGCCCCCCCCCCAAAAAAAAAAAAAAAAGTTAGCATCAGCTGAACTGTTTTAGTGATTCACAGAAGGTCTCCAGGGATGAGAACGAGGATGATTGATAGTTTTCCCGCTCTATTAAAAAGATGTTCTTTTAAAACATCTTAAGAAAGTTTTCCCTGCAGGAAAAAGGGAGAAGAAACATCAACAACAGCATCAACGACATTAACAGAAAAAACCCTTAAATGGGATTCCACTTCTCCAGGAATAAAGGCTGCGTAGAAATAAAAACACTTATATTTTAAAAGAGCAGCAATATATTCAGAAACTGTACTGCTTGTCAGATATCTAAAGCCAAGGAAGACAAATAGATAAGGTCTGTAGAAGGTAAACAAGAAATATTTCGGATTTTGGAGCACAACAGAGTGATATTTATAGCATTCTTTGCCATCCACCTGACTCACATGAGCAGAGTCACTGTGTTTAGTAAACTTTTAGTGGATTTCAAGTTATGGAGGTTTTTAGGTCATAATGGAGGTAGGCCCTTAGAGCCAGATCAGACATGTTTGTTTTCTGCAGCGGCGTCACTATGATCTAAAATGGACAGGTCCTATGGGTAACCTTGAGCTATGTCACTGTTCCGCCACATTCTCCTCCGAGGGGCCAAAAATCAGTCCCCTTAACTTAGGGAGCTGTTGGCCCTGCAGAAAGGTCCGGTGAGAGGTGGCAGTATGCAGCCTTTTCATGGTGGAATGAAGTCACGGGACACCATCCATCTGCCAGTTCTGGAATTCCGGGCATATGGACCAAAATACATATGTCGGCCACATATGGCGTGGCACTAACCGCTGAAGCTGTGAGCGGACCGTCGAAAAGGGAATGACACATGAGACAGATTTTTAAAAAGATTCTTCTGGTTTATCCATCTCCTCATCGGTTTGGTCGCCTGTCTTGCGAGTGCATTTGCGGCCTGTGGTGTATCACAAAATGAGCATGTTTTAATCAACCAAAAGGGTGCAGTTGAATTCTGGTCCGTGTTTTCACCTGTGCAGATGCAGAGGGTGTTCTGGGGGTGACGCTTCAGAAACCGCAGGTCAATTAAGGACTGCGATATTTTAAGTGAGGCTGCGTACTTACCCCCTGTTTGCCCGTGAGGACCCAGCCGGAGGGTAAGGTGTGGGCACGCACGAATAAAGACAACGTTTGACATTTTTGTTCTTTCCTGTCTGGAGGGTGGCAGTGAATCACAGTGATTTACCGCTGTCATTCCTGACTAATAGGCACCTTGTATAATTGGTGAAATGGAATCTTGAGTGAAGCCACAAACGATCGCAGGAAGGTTCAAAACGCCTCGAAATCTGACAGCTTTGCCAAGAATGACAGAGGAGAGGGGGAGTGGGAGAACGAGAGCCCAGAGGATTAAGCGCTTTCCTTATTTATTTGTGTTTGTAGGCGGCCAAACTGGGAATTCATTGAGACAGCGAGGAGCTGAATTAAAAACCGCTCTTTCGCAAAACAAACACAAAGCCCACATTAAACTAATTTTACCGGGTGACTCAACATCAAGCTATCACGTCCAGATTTTGTAAGATAGTTCAACACATTCTTTCAAAAAAACAGACTCTCTTCCAAGTGCAATCAACATGTACCTTGTCAGCTTCACAGCGCGTTATGTTTACTAAGTGAATAGTCTGTATGTAAATGCACCTATTTGCAAAGCAAATTTGAGTAACACCTGAACATGGCAGCAGAGGAGGCGAGACGCTCGCAACTGATGGCGTGCTGAACATGGGGGGGGCGAGGACGGCCTCAGAACGACGCCGAGTGACGGGTACAGCATCCCGTTCGGCTCGAGGCCCAGGAACACTGGAACACGTTCTGATTTTGACGGAATAGTGGTTGGTGTGGGGAGCTCAGCGAGCCAATCCCTACACATTTTTCCCTTTATATATGTATTGCACTTTATCACCCGGGTCTTTATTCTGCCACGGCATCCTGTTAGGGACCGTGGCAAGCAGATCTTAGTCGCGGTGCAGCAGGTTCATTCAGAACAGAACGAAGGCCCCCATTGATAACAGCCCAAGCCAAACCCAGGAACAAATGAACTTCAATGGAGCCTCAGTTCACAGACATTCACCAGTCATGGTGCTGCCAAGTTAAAATTGAAGTAGAATCATCCCATCCATCCATCCATCCATCAATCTTTCATACCGCTCCTGAGCAGGATCACTGAGCGGGACACCACACGGTGAACATTTTTGGGAAAGCAGGGCGACACATTCCCTGGAGCAATTGGGGGTTCAGGACCTTACCCAGGAGCCTGAAGGCAAAATAACTAGGATTTGAACCTACACTTGCCCCACCTGGAGAATCAATGCACCTAATTATCTTACCTCCTTTATGTTAAGAAATGTTTGTGCACAATCAGGAGTGCTGAAATTTTCTTAAATTTGTTACCACACCTTTGTATTGAAATGTATTAAAGGGAAAAAAATCTTGCTCATTTTATAAAGGCAGGAAAAAAGAAGATTCACTCGTCGTGGAAATGGGGCGATTTCCCACAGAAGGAATGAAAATAAGCGGGTCCATGAAATAGCTTTGAGCACACAGGCTTAATTGTGTGTAGAAACCCGAATGATCAGTGCCGCCAAATGGCAGTTTTATTATAAACCCCCCTGCAACCTTTAAATGGTAACAATTGTTTTGTAGGCCGGTAGTGCTAAACAGCTCCTCTGGCCTCATGCGATTTGATATCTGTCTCCGTGGAAATTAAAAGAACAACCGGCCGCCTGGGGTATTGTGGCCAACAAATGAATTAAAAAGGAGTTAGATCCGGGGGATATTTTCAAATACAACTGCCCTTACATCCGGTGATTCGTATTGCGTAGTAGGGATTATGTGGCCGTGTCATGATCTCGGTGCCCAAACAGATAGGTAGGTGGGGCGGACTGGTAGGTGGGGCAGTTCAGCTGTTGCAAGTATCCCTGTTCCTGTCATTTCCTGGATGCGTCTATCACTTCATCTCCTGAAACGTCGCTTCAAAATAATAACGTGTTTTTAAGTACAGAGGCTAATATTTTTAGCATTTGATTATATAATTTTTGCAATAATGAGGGGGGAGGGGTTAAGTTGTTTAATTTTAATTGTCGTCATAAACACCTTTTTGAAGTAAAGTGACAGCTGTTAGTGACGTTTCTCCGATTGTGTGTACAACAAAAAGTTTTTTGTAACACGGCTTCCCTTGTTAGGATGTATGTCCAGCCTTTCTCCTGTGCAATGCACATAGTGATGAACAGTGCTGGTTCAAAATCACTAAGGGTGCACCTGAAATTAGTGAAGGGGCGGGATCAGCAGCACGCCACAGTCATGGACTGATCGACTTCCATCTGCGGGAGCCCATTTCTAACTTGAGGGTGCCAGGCAGCCGTAGGCACCCTTGTAAACCCAGGTCGGGTGATGCAGACTTGATGGACGTTTGCTGGGTGGTAGTAAGGTATATCTGTAGCGGTTAATGTGACCTTTTCTGTCACTGCTTCCCCCCCCCCCCCCCGGCAGAGAGTTTGCGCGTTGGAAGGTGAGGAACACCGCCATCGAGCGGAGGGACCTCATCCGAAACCCTGTGCCCCTCATGCCGGAGTTTCAGCGCAGCGTGCGGATGCTGGGCCGGCGGCCATCTACGCAGCAGTTCATCGACACCATCATCAAGAAGTACGGCACCCACATCCTCATCTCGGCTACTCTGGGAGGTAAGATGGTGCTAATCTCCTAGCTCCTCCATCAGTGCACCTTCAAGGAAATCAATTACAGCGGTACCTCAGTTCAGAACTCGGGTTCGAATCCTAAAAAGTTCTGATCGAATTTTCCCCATAAGAAATAATAAAAAAAACCAATTAATTGGTTCACGTCCCCCAAAAATTACACCTAAGTATATATATATTTTTTTAAACGCAAAATGAACAGGATAAAATAAGAAGAAGATATACTGTACTAAACACGTCTAAGCACATTTATCAAAACAGTAATTTGTAAAGTTAGAAAATAAACGTATCCAAACAATGTGTCCTGCCCCTATCGTCCGCTCCTTCCGTGTGCCACGCCCCCGCGTTAACCCCGTGTGGAATCCCTGTGTGATTAGCTGTTTCTGCTTGTTGTCATTAGTCCTTTGTATTTAGTCCGCGTTTCAGTTTGTTTCCCCAGTCCAGTCATTGTATTGTCCGTCGGCGTTTTGCCTGCCTTACCTGTAATTAAACCCCGTATTCCCCGATACCCTGACGTCTGCGCCTCTCTGTTCCATCCTGCTCCGCACGACAATCTTATTATAATTAAATGTATTAATGATTTATTATTAATGATATTAAAATAATTAATAAGAAATCTTTATTTTTAAATGTATTTTATTATATAATAATAATTACTGTTACTATCATTGTCTAAATGTATTTTTACTGTCTAAATATATGTATTCAGCTAGTGTAAACATGCACGATGCTATCACAACGAATGCGAGGTTGAGACTGAAGAGTTACCCTTTGTTTCCGCTGAGAGACGTGCCGCGTGACTCATTTCCCCGCGCGTACAAGTTATCTTAGTTCGACGTTCACGGTACGACTTCTGAGATTCAGATCAAGTTCTAGGTCATTTTTTTGTCGAACTGGTTGGTTCAGCTTTTAAGAAATTCGAGTTCTAATGAGTTTGTGAACTGAGGTACCACTGTACTTTAGGTTCCCTGGAAAGACGGTCCCCAAGTCTTGGGGCCTCATTTTCAAGACTGCATACGCACAAAGAGGCAATGCGCGTACTCAACTTTTTACATATAATCTTGTATTTATCAAACAAAATTTTACAGGAAAGAATCTATGTATTTCCAAAAACTCAGGAGGAGGTGTATACGACATTATGGATGAATCGGTAAAAGGCAACATCCATTTTAAAGCGGGGAACTGCGTAAACCAGCGAAGTGACCACACACATTGCAGCAATTCATACCATCAATCCACGCCTTCATGTGAAAAACAGAAAAATTAAAAATGTGAACTGGGATGTCTTTTAATTATTATTATTATTATTATTATTATTAATAATAATAATAATTCTGTTTTTTATTCTAGTGTGATTCCGTTTATTTGTGCAAGCCAAAGACTATGTATTTGCCTTTGATAATTTAATTAGCTATTTCAAATACTGTCTTGCCACCTCTTCTCATGAATTAAAAATATCTAATTGTCACAAGTTGCACTAAATGTGAAATAGGCGTCAGACATTTGCATGCATGGATTGACTTATAAAAGTCTTTCTTGCAAGTCACTATGTAAACAAAAAGATTAGAAGGGAGTGAGTTTTCATGGGCCATCAAGATTATTTGTTTACTGTTTGCACCATGTGTTTGTAATATCGTCGCAATTTATTTTGCATTAAATGTGTGTTTCCCTACACTGTGGGTGAACAGACAAACATAAATACTATATTTGCAACTATGTCCAGTTTCCAGATGTAATCTGAGCAATCAACTGCACTGACATTGTGATAAGGGGACCTCAAATCAAATCAAAATTTATTTATCAAATGCATAACAGTACAGCAAATAGCAGTAGATGGAGGTGGTGGAATGGGTGCTAATTGAAGTACTTTTGTCAATCGAAAGCCATTTAATTCTATTAATGGGTAAGTCATCTGTCTTGTCATCATGAAATTATGATTTGTTCATTTTGAGTTTAACTTACCACATCGGAGCCTCCCGACTGCTCTGGCACAGCACTAGATAATATGCATTTACCTTATTCACCCTATTATAGGTGCCATGGCCATGCTGAAGTTTGAGGGGGAAGATGTGGGTTTGCCCTCCATATTTGGACTTTCACGTTTTTTCCCTCTCTATCGTCAGATAATTCCTTTTTTTTCTGTACATTTTGTAGAGCCGACAGAATTTACGGCAGCGGCTTTACGTCGCCGTTCAGCACTCCATTTGAGATTCAGCTTTATTATCATGTAGAAGTACTCTGACAACGGAATGCAGTTTGGCATGGAAGCTTAAAGTGCAAAATGGTGCAGAAGTACCAGAAACAGCTGTGCAATACATACATGTGGGAAAAATATCATCAGAAAATGTACTTTTAAATATTTAATTGTTTATGATAAATGTGCAGAGGCACTCAAATATAACATTTCATTGTGCCTCCTCACACTGTTCAAATTCCTCTAATTTTATTTAAAACCGGCGTCGTTGGAATTTGCAACCAGAACGGCTTGATTTGCATAATTTATGAGCATGCAGCTCATTTGCATTTGACCATTTATGGTTGTTTGTGGGTGATGTCTGGGCAGGATCTCAGGCTCACACATGTACGCATATTGACAAGATAGTTCTGATATGTTTGAGGGGAAATATGCATACACCTGGTTTGATAAATCCAATTTTATTTTATTTTTTGTCAGTACACATTTTTTTCTTTTCAAGCTTGCACATTTTTCCATGATAAAATTCCGGCAAAGTTTGATAAATGAGGCCCCTGGTGTCTATTTGAGTTTAGTCAGCAGGAGCCACTTTTTAGGTAGCTATGGCAAGGTTGACCCTGGACACATCATGTGTTTTTCTGCCCCCGAGTCTCTCTACAGTCAATCTCAGCTTCAGATGAGAAAGTGGATCGAAAGACCAGCCACGGCACCAAGAGTGACATGAGTGATAGAGGTTCCAGAGATCAGTGAGTTCTTGTGGTTTGACTTAGAGTTGTTTTGCCCACTTCTTTAGGGTCTTGTCAGACAAATGGTCTTCGTTTTCTTCTGTCATCGCCCTGCTGTCAAATCGTGATGGAGTCAATAGAACCGCATGTGCAGCGATAGTTATTCGGCCGTATCAGGTTCCGGATGTATTTGTCCTGCATTTCGCTTTTTATCTCACGATGAAGCTCACTGTACTCAGCCCAGACTTAGACGTGCTAATTTACAGAGGCCAGCAGTACCGAGTTAAATAACATTAAATACTGGCTCTTCTTTAGGCTGTGTAATAAAACTGGGTCTGTGCTGCATGGGAAACTCGTGAATCCCTTCTTTATGATCAATAAAACGATGCCTTGGATGCAGAAACGGCCACGAGCTCTACATTTAAGAAATATTGAAACATACTCGCAGTAATAACGACTCATATTTGTAAGTGTTTCCCATGGCACCCCTGCTGCTATGAACTTGGGTGAACTTTTCTCTCTACCTTCAGGTTCTTAGAAGCTGCACATTAGCGTGAGCCATTACGTTAACTGATAAAGCAGGAAAGGAACACGGCTGCCCAGAATCTGCCGTTAAGGCCGGCAGCTAATACAGTTGCAGTGATAATAGGGCACTGAGGTGCCCCGATTTTGCCTGTCTTTTTTTCCCCCATCCGTCCTTTGAGGGGCAGTTTATGTGCTCAAAAAGAATCTGTTTACTTTAGGGTTCCTTCTACATGTGTGTGTGAGTGTTACTGTCGTGTCTGTCAGTTTCACCACTGGGCTACTGACACACCCTCCTGCCTTCGGCGGGTTTGAGGGGCGATGGCTTTAAGGCCCTAACAGGTTCAGAGTTTGGCCCAGAGTAAGGTTATGACTTCTCTTCATGCAGTGGAATGGCAGTATGGAGAATGATGGCCTGTATTGTGACTTTTTAAACACATAATCTACCTTGATTTTGTCATCTCACAGACATCACGATTTCCCCTCCTGTAATTCACAAATAACCCTCATACTTAGCCTTGATGAAAAGTTGATGCGGTGAAAGGTGGAAAAAAGGTAAATGCTTAGTTTGGAAGGCACAATAAATACCATCTGCAGTGATGCTTAGTCCAGAATGTTATGAATGAAACTGTTCTGGAAAAGCTCGGAAAGAAATTATCTTTTTGTTAATTTTCACATAGCACAGCCTCTTTGCCTCATGTATTTATTTTAAAAAGGAATAAAACACTTACAATAACATACATTATTAAAATATCAAGTCAGCTCTGTCTGCTGTTCGACTTTATAGGCTTATACAAGTAGGCATATACTTTGCTTTTTAAAATTCCTGTCATATTTAAGCAATGACATATGAGGAGTGTGGTTGTACTCGAGTCTATCACGGCTGTGAGTCAGTTTTAGGCACGAAAACGCAGTTATACAGTTATATTCTGGTAACAGCACTCATACACCATCTCTTGTCCAATCAGGTTTGTTGGTCAGAACTGTTGTATAATTTTTTTATAATGTTACATAAGATTGTACATATGTGGAGTTAGTTAGTAATTAATTACACAGACAATGTCTAATCACAGACATTAAATAGTCTTACACTGACTGGTTTCAGATAAGCATGCTACAATATGTTAAAAAGCATGTAAACATTAAGGTTTTTTAACAAAGCAGTTTTTAAAGTATCGATGCAATGTGAAAATACAATGCTTTGCTAAATGCATTCCATTGTTCGTAGAGGTGTGACCTAACACAAGCTTGGGAACTGAACCAAGAGCTGACACAGGTTCTGACTGGTTTGATTAAAGGGCTAAATGTAGGATAGGGGAATATTCACTTAGTCATTTCTAGCAGAACTATGCAAAGCAGCTCACATAATTATATACTGTATTCTATAATGAAAGCCTTACTTTGCGGGCCTAACCAGAAACGAGCAGGAACATGGTCCCAGAGAACTTAACACAGCCAAGTTCTGAGCATGAGAGAGAATGTGACAGAATCCTTTATGGAGTATTATATTTTATATTGTCATTTATATAACATCAGGCTACATATATATATATGTACATATATATCTTTATACTGGTCACACTGAGTCATAATATAATTATAATTAATAATCAGGATCTTGCTAATAACTGTCAATAAAGCTGTCGAGAACACTGGCTGAAAGAGGAAAATGTTCATTCATTAAAAGAATTAAATTGAGCGAATTTGATTTGAAATTTGGAGTCACTGCTACTTTCTCACTGCAGAGGTGGTACATTATTCTTATTTTAAATATTTGCTAAAACATATGTTTAACACCTTTTAAAATCATTTTTATGACACGTCTTAATCACTACTTTATCGTTTTATAACACAGTGTAAATCACTAAAATAACACTTCGCCGTAGTAATTATGATCATGCCGGCCGTGGCTAGAGAAAGGACATGTACTGTGAAATATCACTGACGCGCTGTTTTTCCTTTGTGTTCTTCAAGCCTCTTATCAAGGGACACGTCTCTCGTGCCAAGTGTGAGTGTTTCTCACGGGCATCTGGTGATCCACCTGCAAATCCTTCCTTTTTTCCCGCAGGTGAGGAGGCTCTTACTATGTATATGGCTAAAAATAAACTGGACCGGAAGATGGTGAATGTCACGCAGAGCGTGGAGACCCTCCATCAGCTGGCCTCCTCCTATTTCATAGACCGGGATGGGACCATGAAGAAGCTCCATGAGATCCAGATTTCCACCAATGCCATCAAGGTAGGCACCCCCCAGCCCGTCCTCCCACCATCACTGCCCATGTGCCACTCCATGTTCCATCCAGTCATCTCTGCCGTTGTCGTCGGTGACAGACCAGTGAAGCAGTTGTGGCAGCCCAGGCTTCGGGTACCGGCAACTGAGGCGTGATGAAAATAAGCAGAGTCGACAATGACTGCTGAGTTAGAGGGGTGGCGGTGGTGGTACGAGGGGGTAGGGAAAAAAAAAGAAAAAGATGCTCACACAGCAGAATCTCTAAATGTGTCCAGGTGGCGCAGCCTTAAAGAGGAACGGTCACTGGCCCGGCAGGCCGGATCATTGTGGATCAGCCTCAAAACGCAGACGGCATTTTGTCTCCTGACCTGTTCTCTCCTCCTTCATTAGAAGAATCGCATCCCTTAGAAGAGGAGTCACGTTTCTCACCCTGGGATAATTTAATTTGTCAGTGTAATTATGTGCGCGGTGCGTCCGGCTTTGAATGACGTCATCACGAGGCTCTAATAAACTGTGTCGTGTCAGAAGGGGAGTGGCAAGACCTTAGCTTATGGAGGGATTACTAATGTTTAGCTAACCTACAAGTGGAGGGTGAAGACAAGCTAAACAGGGATGTGAAACTGAATATAATATAATTCCCACAATTACAAAATAGCTAAAATATAGCTGCTTATGTTCTCTTTGCCCCTCCAGAAAAATCATCATTTTCAGAAAAGTAAACAAAAACACATGCATGCAACGAAACCATCGGGGGTTAGTGACGTGCGCAATAATGTTCAGGCTTGGTTGGAAAATAAGCCAGATGAGGTGGCAGCTCGACGGCGAATGTGCCTTCGCTCCCTCTGCGGTCACGCCGGGCAGATGGCTGCCGATGACGCATCTGAAACCCGAGTCTGTCGCTCTCTGATATTCTCTGAAACAGAAGAGACCGTTTTGTCCTTCGAGTATTGAGTTCATTTTGATGTTTCAGTATTAGATTTTGTAAAGTGTATTTTTTGTTATTATTATTATTATTATTATTATTATTATTATTATTATTATACTGCAACTATTACCAGAAGTGGCCAGAAGATACTTAATAATACTGATAATAGTGATTACAAATAGTAAATTAGAGTAATAATAAATAAATATGCTATGATTTATGTTATTTATTTTTAGAAATATAATAACAATATGAAAAAGAGCCCTATGAATAGATTCCATGCAGAAAATCCTCATGCCTTGTGCCCTATGCTAATTGTGATAGGGCTGCCCCGCACCCCCCTCCCACGATACTGTCCAAATTAAGCAGTTAGAAGATGGATGGGGGGGGCCTTCCAGTGGCTCATTTTTTACTTCCTCCTCTGCTTTCTTCTGCATTTTTTTTTTTCTTTTTTGTCGAATACCTCTCCCATCCCAAACGAGCCGTCTTGTCTCTGTCCAGCACACACACTCGCACGCTCACCACGGCCGGTGACGGAAAGGGCATTCGTCTCTGTCAGCGGCACATCCCCCCCCCACCCCCCCAAAGCAAGGCTGGTGCTGACACTCCAGTAGCTGTAACATCATCTCATCAGCCAGGCTCCCCTTTGCTTAGCTGGCCCCTCACTCCCCCAGCTTGGAATCTCGTGCGGCCCGCTTAAGTCGGTTTCTGAATTTTCGGCACCACAGAGATGTTAATCAAAAAGGCAGACAGTTCTGCGGTGATGTGGTTACGCCCAGAGCGAGTCAAGGAGCCTCCGTACACAGGGGTGTTGTCCCCACAAAGAAGGATGTTCGTCTGATCCAATGAATTCTCATGCCCTGGAAATCCCAGACATCACTTTTTCTTGCCTTTCAGCTTTGAGAAATCAATGAACCTTTGAGCGTTAGTGGAATAAAGGAAAACAATTCTATTTCCAGCCAAATGGTTCCCAGACCTGCGCTTTTCTGATGTTCCAGTCTAATGTCAGGATACTCTTTTTTTTTTTTGCACTTGAAACCTTCTTTGAGTCATGGGACCCACAGTGTTAAAACCCACGGACTGTATTGTACATTTTACAGAATCTCAAAAATTGCAGGAGGTGAGAATTAACAGTAGCTTGAAGGTTGAGTGTCCAAAAATACTGTAGATTACCAGAACAAATGTTATATCTGATCTGAAGTAAAAGACTGATACATGTACAATATTTGATACATAAAAAAGTGAGACAGGTCTGAAAAATTCTGAAATTCTATTCAGCTTAACGTCCTTGCCGCCTTTCTTTTATATAATGATGGTCTTAAACCGCTAGAACATAAATCTTTAATGATAAAAGAAAATCAGAAATGTAAGCATGACTTATTAAAAAATTCTTGTTTGGTTTTTTATAATAGTGCTAATCTTGAAGCCGAAGAAACCATTCACCGCCCTTCCCCCCCTTTCTGGGGTCTGTTCCTGTAGGAAGAAAGAAAAAAACAGTCTGATAATTGGAGCAAAATCAATTTCACACAAACAGCATGGGGTGACTAAATGTACCCGTCATACAGCAAGATAAAAAAGTGATAAGTGTAAAGCAAAGCATTACAAACTCCAGAGCGTGCAGGACCACGTTGCCCGCTGAGGGAATGAAATGAACCTTGTTGTTTCTCTTTATTAGGACCAGATTTGCTATATGCCATTCCTGCAGGCACACTGTGCACGGGAAAAAAAATGAAACACAGTCAATGAAGCATCACAATAATGGTACTAAAAAATTCCATTTTACAATCGATTGTTTTCCCTGACGTTCTTTGATAATCGCACTGCGTAATGTGCTGTTGCGTTCCTGTCAAGGTCACCCGCCGCATTAATCACTCTCAGACTCAATATGCAAATTATGATGATGCTGCATATTTCTTCCAAAGGAATATTCCTCCACTCTATTTCACGGTTGGTTCTTCTGTATCTTTTCGGCACACAGCCAAACGTGAAAGAATAAATGGATCTTAAACCAAGGGAATCAAAGGCAATGCAAGGCTCATAAGAAACATAAAAAAATTAAATAAATAAGGAAGAGCTGCCATTAAAAAATGAAAGAGTTGGCGATGCTGTCTTAAGTCAGGAAGGTGAGCGATCCGGCAGGGGAACTGGCAGCTATAAAGAGGCTGATTAAAGGGGTTTTTTTGGCTTTTTGGGAATGGGTCGGTAGGGGTAGAGCCAAATAAGAAAGTCCAACAGATGTAAATAAAATAATCACAAATCTGGGCTGGGAAAGGGAGGGAAAAATGAGACTTAGGTCAGACACTGTAGCGGTGAAAGGGGATCAGATTAACTAGTGTTGGTTCTGGGTCTGTGGTCTGGGTTTCTGGGGACCAGGCAGAACGGAACATGACAATATTTACAGATTGCTGACAGGTGTAACAGATCAATGGGGATAATCCCAGGCACCGAGCTCTGTCTTTCCAAGACAGCTGGAGGCTGCACCTCATTCCACTCAAATATGCCATTTCTGAATGCTATTGCCAAAACCTGCAAGTCAAAGTCGTGACGTCACCCTCAGTTTATTATAGTATATTAGTTTAGCCCTTCTATATAAATATGAATATACAGTATCATCCCATATTAAGTTCCTTTAATCAAAGTTTATGTGCTTCTAGCAATGGATATTTACTGAATCTGATCCAGTATGGTCCCCTGCAGAAGACCAGCAGAAACATTGAGACGGCACTGATGAAACCGGCGTGGGTCACATGGCCGTAGATGTTCTCTGCTCAGCTCTGGCCAGACGCTCTAGCGGCATGCAGCTAGGCCGAGCGTCCGGCGTGATGTATGACTGCAGACAGCTTCCAGGACATCGAGTCCACACCGAGCGAGCAGACACCTGACGGCTGAATGCAGCCAGTCCCATGCAGAGTGGCCGGATTGCACGGCGCTTCTAGACAGCAGTGACGGATTCGTCGGGCGCCCAGGCTCTAGAACATTGGTTCCGTTTTTTTGTCGGCTACCAGATGAATGCCTTGTGCATATGGGAAATCCTCATTTTGAAGAACTGGGATGAAAAATAGGGGGTAGGAACAGAAAGCGAGAAATATCGCACACCCAGTGAAAAATGAACGGTGGCGGGTTCACGTCCCGGATCGTCCGCACTGAAGCCGACGGAGGAGAAACTGCAGAGAAAGGTGAAAATGCGAAAGAGGCATGTGACAGAAGTGCTTGGTCCCACACAATCCATCTGCAGATTAGGCCCGGGTAGGTGGACGGGCCATTTATTCATTGTGGTGAATTGGCGTGGTGGTGGAAGTCTCAAAGCACAGGGGTAGGAACATAAAGGCAGCCTGCAGCAATGCAACAATGCATGCATTAAGGGTGAGGAGAGCAGTATGCTTGGGATAATTCTCTGTTTGGAACTAGTGGAGTATAACAGAATACATGCTGTATACTTGATGTGTTTGACAGACACAAAACATCTCATATTTGTATGGAGTTGGCAACAAAGCATGGATTTTCTTTAGGAACTGTGAAATATCGTGGAGTTATTTAGAAGCTCACTGAATGTTTGGGCCGCATTTAGTGATAACAACATAATGGAGGTAATGGAACATGATGAAATATCTAGGATTTATTTTTAGATAATGGGAATGTTTGGCCAGAGTCTGGTGGTGGGGCAGCTGACTGTAACATCTGGACTTTCATGGGAGGCAATAGAAGATTCAAAATATAGCAATACAGACACCTTATGAAGCGCTAGTTAAGTGCAGCAGTGTAGAAGAAATTTAACGGCGCATACTGAATATGGTAGGATATGATGAAGGATCAACGAACTCCAAAATGCTATCAAGAGGACAACATCAAGATATCAGATATCACAGATAGCTGTCTTCCACAGAAGAGGAAGAAAATCCTTCAGAATCTCCTGAATAATGACTGGTATTAGGATCTGCACACCTTAGCATAGAAATGAAAGCTTTCTGCCAAGCCGGTAGTAACGGATGTTTTAGTCTGACAGCTTTCAAAGAAGTGACACACAATGTCTCGCAAAGTGAACTTAATGACTGGATGGAAGTAATCACTTGATGTCGTATGTGTGCTGCGGGCATTTGTTAATCAACAGCCACAAAAGAGTGCACCTCAAGGAATTAAGAAGGAAGTCGAGGGGGGGGGGGGAACGCCTGTAGGGAGGGAAAATGATTTCTGCAGAATCGAGCCCAATTATCCGATGACTTCGATTGGCTTT